CTGTTAGTCCCATCTTCTGCGTTCTGCAGGGCAAATGCCACAGTTCTATACACCACTGTTTCTTACTCTTGCTTCTCCTCGGTGATGAGCCTCATGCCTGTTGCATAATCACTGTGCTCGCATGCAAGCCGGGCTGTTCCCTTCTCTCTCCGTTTGCAATGCCTGCATTCCTCAGGGGTAGCCTTGGCGGGGAGCTCTGTTCCTCCGGGATGTGGTGGAGGAGGGCCCAGGGCCTGGACCTCATTGTGTCAGCCAACTGAGCTGGGGGAGGGTGCTCGGGGCAGGGTGATCAGGACAGGGTGAGCTGTGGGGGGACGAGCTCAGGCAGCAGAGAGGCTGTCCTCTGGCAGCTCCTCGTCGTCTCTAATGTTCAGGGACCACTGAACTGGAAGGGGGTCTATCCCTGGAGAGTAAGCCCAGCCCTGGGCTTTGGGAGCGGGGTGGGGAGACTGAAAAGCTGAGGGAGCTGTTCACTCAGCCCTAATGTCACTGACCCTCAGCCCAGGGGTCTGCGTTGCAGGCAACCTGGGAGATGCGGAACGCTGCTGCAGGCCTTGGAGGTTGAAGGACACACATGACTGACTGGGGCAATGCACGGAGGCCAGGTTTTCCTTCAGCCTAGCAGCTCCAGGCAGGGGCCGCCGTGCTTCAGCACTAGAATTCTCGCCTCCCATGAGGAAGAGCCGGGTTCGATTCCCAGACCATGCACCTCATGCGCAGCCACCACCCGTCTGTCGGGGGAGGCTCGCGTGCTGCTGTGACGCTGAACAGGTTTCAGCAGAGCTTCCAGACTAAGACAGACTAAGAAACAAAGGCCTGGCGATCTTCTTCTGAGAATCAGCCATGAAAACCCTATGGATCACAACGTTTGATCCCGTTGTGGGCAGGGTTCCCGTCAGTCGGCCAGCGCAGCTAGCAGCAGCAGCAGCAGCTCAAGGCAACCGCAGGCCACCTTGCCCCGCGCAAAGGTCACTCACAGGAGTCTCCCCAGGGGTTTATGGCTTTGTTGTTGTTGCCATTAGCCCCCACGGCCCATGCGTCTCTGCTGTCTCCCGAGGACTGTGTGGGCAGGAGTCAGGAGCCTGTGCTCTTGGACCATCTTGACAGAAACCCCAGGACGTACCTGTTATGGATTGAATTTTGTCCCAGAAAATACGTGTTGTAAATCCGAGGCGGTGCAGTGGTTAAGAGATCAGTTGCTAACCACAAGGCTGGCAGTTCAAATCCACCAGGCACTCCTTGGAAACCCTATGGGGCAGTCCTACTCTGTCCTTTAGGGTCGCTGTGGGTCAGAATCAACTTCACGGCAACAAGTTTACTTTTTTATGCCTGTGGTTATAATCTCACTGGGGAACGGGTTGTCTTTGTTACGTGAATGAGGCGGGATTAGTGCAGGATGCGTCTTGAGTCTATCTCTTTTGAGATATAAAGAGATTAAACAAGCAAGCGAGACAAGCAGAGATGGGGGAGACAGGTGCCAAGCCACGTGGAGATCTCCAAGGAACCAGCAAAAAAGCTGAAGAGACAAGGACCTTCCCCCAGAGCTGATGGAGAGAGAAAGTCTTCTCCTAGAGCCAGCGCCCTGAATTTGGACTTCTAGCCTCGTAAACTGTGAGAGAATAAATGTCTTTGTTAAAGCCACCCACCTGTAGCATTTCTGTTGACAGCACTAGATGACCCAGACGGGGCCGCACCAAGAGGACTCAAGGCTGCGTGACCGCGTCGGCCTCACGTCAGCCTTTCGCCCTCTCCAGTCACTGCTGAGTCAGCCCCGACTTGTGGCGACCCCACGTCTGTCAGAGCAGATCTGGGCCCCACAGGGTTTTCAAGGCTCCCACCTTTCGGAAGCAGACCACCAGGCCTTTCCTCTGTGGTGCTGCTGATTGGGTTCACACTGCCAACCTTCTGGTTAGTGGCCGAGTGCTTCACCATGTGCGCCACCCAGAGGGTCACCTGCTCCTCGCTAGAGACGTACTCATCGAGTGGCTGGACAATGGCGACTATACACAAGCTTTACAGCAGAACATGACATGGAGCAGGAGATATTAAAGACGCTGAATAGTGGCAGGAGGTCCAGGGGAGAAACCTGGATTTGGGGGCAACAAACAACACGTCTGGGATGGGTGCTGCCAGGGACACAGGGTTCTGAACGCAGGTTCTGGGCCTTGAACATGGCCTCCATCTCCTCGGCTATGCGCCCAAGTGCCCTGAGCTTCTCTAAAGAAGGGCGGTGCTAAAAAAATAAAAGAAGCACGATTTTTCTTTTTTCTACTGTTCAGAATAAATTGAAAGCGTATAGCTCAACTCAAGCAAGAAATGAAATGACCTCTTTTTTCACGATCGCCTTGTTTTCAAAAGGAAGTTCGATTTCCAGCACGACCACTCTTGGTACAAAGGACGACCCACAGAATTAACAAAGATCTGGGGGGTGTTCTTGGAACCCACAAAGCTGCCAACCGCACGTGTACCAACTGAGCGGAACCTAGCCCTCTAGCCCACAGAGCCAGAGCTCACACGTCACCGGGTACCCCGGGTAACACAGAGAGCCAGGGCCAGCGCCCCAGTAAGTCCCGCAGACCCTGCAGTCCAGGATCACCACAGAAAGGAACCCGGGTCCCAGGGCCCTGGTGGCGCAGTGGGCACTCACCAGCGCAGTGCAATCTTGATGGGCGTGGTGAGGCAGGACGTGAAGAGGTCGGCCGGCAGGTCAGGGATCATGGGCAGCAGCTCGGTGGCCTCACAGGCAGCCAGCTGGATGCAGTTCTTCATCGATGGGGGCAGAGGCATCTGGGCAAGCGGGTGGTTTGGGTTAATGGCGGCGACCTGTGGGGAGAACATTCCAGAAGAGAGAATGACCTGGTGTCTCACAGATTTGGAGAGCAAGCTGCAAATGCTGTAAATGCAGGAGGAAAGAATAAGCTGGCTAAGGCTTAAAGCTTTGGGTTTTCACTACAAGGTCCTTATGCGAGGCGGCACTCCTGAACTCGCTCCCCTCCAGGAGGATGACCCCAAGGCCTGAGCCCCGGACAGCAGGGCGAGGCTCTGCCTTGGCCAAGTCCGAGTTCCCCTCTTACAACTGCACCCGTGCCACAGGTATTTTCTCCAGGTCTTCTGTGGTGTCTCTGCCATTCACATTAAACACACAGTCTTTACTCTGCCCAAACCGTTTCTTGGCGTGTTCAGGGACATGGAACAGAGTTCACGGTTACACAAAGTGAAGGCCACCAACAAAACAGCCACACAACCGCGAGCGAGCGTGTGCCTATCGACCATCGCACGGAAACCCAGAGGGAATGCAGTACCGTGGGGTGTCGCGAGCGGCCTTGTTTTCCTCTACTTTCCTCCGATTGGTCTAGATGCTCTACAAACACATGTGTGCTGATTCTGTAACCAGAGAGAAGGTCTTCTTGTTTACACACAACTCAGTCTTTCTGTAAAGTGAGGAGAGTGATATCTGCTTGATTCACATTTCCGTGAGGTTCTGGCAGCAGTACTGCAAGGTCCCAGCCTTGCAAACCCTAGGGAGCAGTTCCACTCTGCACACGTGGGGTCACCAGGAGTCGGAACGGACTCGATGGCAGCAAGGTAGTGACAGGAAGCTAACCGCACACTGAAGCTGCAGGAGGAAAGGTACCCAGCTAATTATTCTTTACTCTGAGAATGCAAACAAATTTTTCTTTTCGATGGAATAAAATCTAATTAAAAGTCTAAATCTTCTTTTAGAATAATGCAATACGTTCAAAGTTTAAAAAAAGACAGATTTTCTGATACATGGCTTCAGAATCCTGTCATGAATAATTATGGAGTCTAATTTTACAAAAAAAAAACAAAAAACAAAAACAAAACCCAGCATTATTCAATAAAACACAGGATCCTTATACAACAAAATACACCTACTCTAGCGTTGTGGATTTTGACACCAACCCTTGCTATACATGCTGCATTTATGTGACACTTTTGGTAACCCACAACAGGTCTGCTGTCATTTTGAGAAATAATGAGGTTCACAAGAATTCATGGCACTCAGGCCAGTGAATTAAACAAGTCTAACGCACTGGAGACCATGTGTATACACCACTCTGCCTGCTCCTAAAATCATCCTGAGGAACAAAAGGTCAGAGCCAGCCTCACCAGCCGAGAGGTGAGCAGCACTGGCCCAGGAGGCGCCCTGCCCAGGAGGCACCCTGTTCAGGAGGCGACCTGCTCAGTAGGTACCCCGCTCAGGAGGCGCCCCGCTCAGGAGGTGCCCTGCTCAGGAGGCACCTGCTCAGGAGGCGCCCCACCCAGGAGGCCCCCCGCCCAGGAGGCGCCCCACCCAGGAGGCGCCCCGCCCAGGAGGCGCCCCGCTCAGGAGGCGCCCCGCTCAGGAGGTACCTGCTCAGGAGGCGCCCCGCTCAGTAGGTACCCCGCTCAGGAGGCACCCCGCTCAGGAGGCGCCCCGCACAGGAGGCGCCCCGCTCAGGAGGTACCTGCTCAGGAGGTGCCCTGCTCAGTAGGTACCTGCTCAGGAGGCACCCCGCTCAGGAGGTGCCCTGCTCAGGAGGTATCTGCTCAGGAGGCGCCCTGCTCAGGAGGCACCTGCTCAGGAGGCACCCCGCTCAGAAGGCGCCCTGCTCAGGAGGCACCTGCTCAGGCAGTTGCCGTGGGGCGGTATCAGCCCTCTGCAGGTGCACACAGGGCACTGGTACACTAACAAGGGCCGGCCCCGGCCCCACAAGCCCCAGCTCCCCCAGAACCCCCTTGGTCCTCTAAACGGTGATTGTACACAAAACCGGTTGTCGTGAAGTCAATTCCAACTCACGGCAAACCCATGTGTGTCAGAGCAGAACTGTGCTCCACAGCATTTTCAATGACTAATTGTTCAGAAGTAGATGGCCAGGTCTTTCTCCTGAGGCATGTGACTCTACCGGCGGGACAGGCCTGTGGAGTAGCAGCACGTGAAGAGATGGGAGCAGACAAACCCTGAGGAACGCGCAGACGGGGGGAGAGGGAGCCTCTTCCTTAGTTTGGGGCGTCCTCAGTCAGGATGACGGAGCATAACACTCAGGTAAGGAAAATAAAATGCAATACACAGAGACAACGGCTGTACAGGTGCACACAGATCGCAGTGCTCCCCTCATGACTCATCAGAACATCCATTATTTGCCCCTAATGACAAGCCAGCTACCTTGGAGCCCCAATTTAATCCAACCCATCTCGGTTAGGGAGCTGGCACGACACAGCCTCATCTCAATCTCGTAAAACCAAGTCTAACGACCGAGGACCCCAAAGCCCCTCCTCTGACGCTCTCCTATTTATCACACCGCTCAGCACCCAGGGCCTGCAGGCTCATGCGACCGGGCGCTCATGATCTGGCCTCTACGGCCTTTAAATTATTCTGTACTTCAGTAATTCCTTGGGTTACAAACGCCACAGGGGAAGGACCCCTTTCCTTCAGAGCCGACTCCACGGTGCCCCACAGAGCGCAGGTGCTGAGCGCTGTACAGACGATGCACATGGCAGAGGGGCACCAGGTCAGAAGGCATGGGCTTCCTCACGGCCAGTGGCTGCTAATTTGTTTCAGGACTTGAAAAGCGCATTCACGTGCCTCAGGTTTTGCTCCTTGCTAGTGATTCTTTCTGTTTGCATAATTCTTACTTTACCTCTGTTCTTTCACAGACAGAAGCTAATTTGTCTTTCACAACATCCTTATGAGGTAAGTTCTATCTCTGCTTTTAAACAGCTTTGACGATGAGGAAGCAGAGACCCCAAAGTAGCATGGGAGGAAGCAGAGACCCCACGGAGGGATGGGACTCTCCAGAGCACCTCAGCCAGAGCGAAGGTCAAGCGCGTGGCGAATCCTGACTGTGGGCCAAGTTTCACTCCAC